AATGTTCATATAACAAGCTTCACAGAACTGTGAATATTTTCAGAACATTAAAACTAACCTTAGCTATATGTCTAGCCCCACCAAAACCTCAACCACAAGTGTAATCTCACCACAACCTCAACCACAAGTGTAACCTCACCACAACCTCAACCACAAGTGTAACCCAACTAAAACCTCAACCACAAGTGTAACCTCACCACAATCTCAACCACAAGTGTAACCCACCCCAACCCCAATCACACGGGGGGAGGTAGCCAAGAGGTTACAGCGTTTGGTCGTCTCGCGGAAGACACGGGTAGCTTCAATGTGTGAAGCCCATTTTTGATGTCCCCGCCATGATATTGCGGTAATATTGCGAAAAGCGGCGTAAAATCATACTCACTAACCCATGTAAGAGTCGACTAAAATGGAGACTGGGTGGTCATACTCTGTGACCTGGTTGGTTGTGCATATCGTGCCCCGACTTTGAACATGCTGCAAACCGCAGCTCTTATTTGCTGATCGGGGGCGGTCGGGTAGCTTAGTGGTTAAAGCGTTCGCTCGTCACGCCGAAGACCCGGATTCGATTCCCGACATGGGTACAATGTGTGAAGCCCACTTCTGGTGTCCCCCGCCGTGATATTGCTGGAATATTGCTAAAAGCGGCATAAAACCAAACTCGTTCACTCACTATTTGCTGATCGCCTCTGTGCAGACAGAATACAGCTGACTGCGGTGGAAAACTCATTCCCCGACCAATCTGATAATTACCCAACAGATCTACTGTATCCCTGTCTAAACTTGAGTGTATGTCATTTACACTTTCTTTTTAAAAGAAAATAATCAATTACAATTTTTTTATATTAAAGAATGGCAGTACATTCCTTTTGAAGATATTTTATTCTCTGGGCAGATGTGTTTTTTGTCACCCAGAGGAGATTTAGCTTTGTTTCATCCCACCAGCCTTTGTGGATAGTTTTCCTTATAAGGGAGGTAGTTTTTTACCATCTCAAGCCTTTTTTCTATTAAACAGGGAGGCGGTGATTGTCAAAAACAGAGCAAGAGACAGATGTTATTTTCATGTTCACCGCAGCCCTCAGGATCTGCCACTCGTAGGTAGATCAGAAAATAACGCAACATTATGATTTGCAATTGTCCGTCATCGCAATTAGATGTCGCCATTTCTAATATACAGCTCTGATATATTGTCAGATTGTCTTTCCTAATTTCATATTATCGTTGTGCCGTGTAAGCGGAATGAAAAAAACCCCGGACATTTCGTTAGACATCTTGCCTAACGTATTGATTATAACAGTAACTGTCTCTCTCTCTGACGCCATCTTGTCTAACGTATTGATTATAACAGTAACTGTCTCTCTCTCAGACGCCATCTTGTCTAACGTATTGATTATAACACTAACTGTCTCTCTGACGCCATCTTGTCTAACGTATTGATTATAACAGTAACTGTCTCTCTCGCTGACGCCATCTTGTCTAACGTATTGATTATAACACTAACTGTCTCTCACGCTGACGCCATCTTGTCTAACGTATTTATTATAACAGTAACTGTCTCTCTGACGCCATCTTGTCTACCGTATTGATTATAACAGTAACTGTCTCTCTGACGACATCTTGTCTAACGTATTGATTATAACAGTAACTGTCTCTCTGACGCCATATCGTCTACCGTATTGATTATAACAGTAACTGTCTCTCTGACGACATCTTGTCTAACGTATTGATTATAACAGTAACTGTCTCTCTGACGCCATATCGTCTACCGTATTGATTATAACAGTAACTGTCTCTCTGACGCCATCTTGTCTAACGTATTGATTTATAACAGTAACTGTCTCTCTGACGCCATCTTGTCTAACGTATTGATTATAACAGTAACTGTCTCTCTGACGCCGTCTTGTGTAACGTATTGAGTATAACAGTAACTGTCTCTCTGATGCCATCATGTCTTACGTATTGATTATAACACTAACTGTCTCTCTGACGCCGTCTTGTATAACGTATTGATTTATAACAGTAACTGTCTCTCTGACGACATCTTGTCTAACGTATTGATTATAACAGTAACTGTCTCTCTGACGCCGTCTTGTGTAACGTATTGAGTATAACAGTAACTGTCTCTCTGATGCCATCTTGTCTAACGTATTGAGTATAACAGTAACTGTCTCTCTGACGCCGTCTTGTATAATATTTATTGAGTATAACAGTAACTGTCTCTCTGACGCCGTCTTGTATAACGTATTGAGTATAACACTAACTGTCTCTCTCTGAAGCCATCTCGTCTAACGTATTGATTATAACAGTAACTGTCTCTCTGACGACATCTTGTCTAACGTATTGAGTATAACAGTAACTGTCTCTCTGACGCCATCTTGTCTAACGTATTGATTATAACAATAACTGTCTCTCTGACGCCATATCGTCTAAGGTATTGATTATAACAGTAACTGTCTCCCTGACGCCATCTTGTCTAACGTATTGATTATAACAGTAACTGTCTCTCTGACGCCATCTTGTATAACGTATTGATTATAACAGTAACTGTCTCTCTGACGCCATATCGTCTACCGTATTGAGTATAACAGTAACTGTCTCTCTGACGCCGTCTTGTCTAACGTATTGATTATAACAGTAACTGTCTCTCTCGCTGACGCCATCTTGTCTAACGTATTGATTATAACAGTAACTGTCTCTCTCGCTGACGCCATCTTGTCTAACGTATTGATTATAACACTAACTGTCTCTCTGACGCCATCTTGTCTAACGTATTGATTATAACAGTAACTGTCTCTCTGACGCCATATCGTCTACCGTATTGATTATTACAGTAACTGTCTCTCTGACGCCATCTTGTATAACGTATTGATTATAACAGTAACTGTCTCTCTGACGCCATCTTGTCTACAGTATTGATTATAACAGTAACTGTCTCTCTGACGCCGTCTTGTATAACGTATTGATTATAACAGTAACTGTCTCTCTGACGCCATCTTGTCTACCGTATTGATTATAACAGTAACTGTCTCTCTGACGCCATCTTGTCTAACGTATTGATTATAACAGTAACTGTCTCTCTGACGCCATATCGTCTACCGTATTGATTATTACAGTAACTGTCTCTCTGACGCCATCTTGTATAACGTATTGATTATAACAGTAACTGTCTCTCTGACGCCATCTTGTCTACCGTATTGATTATAACAGTAACTGTCTCTCTGACGCCGTCTTGTATAACGTATTGATTATAACAGTAACTGTCTCTCTGACGCCATCTTGTCTACCGTATTGATTATAACAGTAACTGTCTCTCTGACGCCGTCTTGTCTACCGTATTGATTATTACAGTAACTGTCTCTCTGACGCCATCTTGTATAACGTATGGATTATAACAGTAACTGTCTCTCTCACTGACGCCATCTTGTCTAACGTATTGATTATAACACTAACTGTCTCGCTGACGCCATCTTGTCTAACGTATTGATTATAACAGTAACTGTCTCTCTCGCTGACGCCATCTTGTCTAACGTATTGAGTATAACAGTAACTGTCTCTCTGACGCCATCTTGTCTAACGTATTGATTATAACAGTAACTGTCTCTCTCGCTGACGCCATCTTGTCTAACGTATTGAGTATAACAGTAACTGTCTCTCTGACGCCGTCTTGTCTAACGTATTGATTATAACAGTAACTGTCTCTCTCGCTGACGCCATCTTCTCTAACGTATTGATTATAACACTAACTGTCTCTCTGACGCCATCTTGTCTAACGTATTGATTATAACAGTAACTGTCTCTCTCGCTGACGCCATCTTGTCTAACGTATTGAGTATAACAGTAACTGTCTCTCTGACGCCGTCTTGTCTAACGTATTGATTATAACAGTAACTGTCTCTCTCTCAGACGCCATCTTGTCTAACGTATTGATTATAACAGTAACTGTCTCACTGACGCCTCGGTGGGGTAGCCTAGAGGTTAAAAAGTTCGCTCATCACGCTGAAGGCCTGGGTTCGATTCCCCACATGGGAATGTGTGAAGCCCATTTCTGGTGTTCCCCCGAAGCCATATGGACGGAATATTGCTTTATGAACTCCCTCTTGAAGTTTGCAGAACTAATGAATCCGAAACAGCACGTCCCCCTCTGGCCTCATCCGTGTACCTACCTACGTGATACCTATCTTCACCCCGTGAAGGTCCGGGTTACAATCGGTCTTCAGCAACCCATGCGTTAGAGGCGATTGTGCTTGTCGTAAGAGGCGACTAACGGAAAAGGGTGGTCAGGTTTCCCTAGTTGATTGATGCATGTCATCGTATCCCAATTGCATGGATTGATGTTCATGATGTCAATCACTGGATTGTCTGGCCAGGACTCCATTAGATACAGACCGCCGCGATATAGCTGACATATTGCTGAGTGCGGCGTTAAACAACAATCAAACAAACAAACAAACAAACAAATAAACTATGATTGCCCTGAGGGCGAATATCGGTGGTTCGATCCCTTGGCCGCGACATACGCCCCTTGCGTTCGGCGTTCGACTGGCCGACTCGGATTCAGTGTACTGTGTCTGAGTGGGGTATTCATTTTAAACTGTGGCAAGGTATATCAGTGGGCTAGAACTATAAAGCAGTGTCTTCATCCACACGTGACTATTTCCGACGTCTAGACCTAGACGGATTAGCCATTACCCATAGCACTCCTTTAACAGCCTTAGAGATTCGTTTTTTTAATGACGAGAACAGATGACTTGTGTAAACGCTATTTCACGAGTCCCCCGAGTTTGTAGCTCTACTATGTTTACATATTCAGTCAGTTGTATTCAGTTCCAATCTGTAACAAACTTGACACATCGAGAACTGTTCAGAATCTCGCCCTCAAATCCTACAAATGCTTGAATTTTCACTTGTCCTTACCACAATTTAGTAGTCCCGGGCTAGCGGACTAGCGTCAATTTCGAAGGCTGCTTAAGATACAAACGACATAGTATTATATACATGTAACAAATATTTATTTCATCTTGGCACAGTAACCCACAAACATAACACCAACGGGCACTTAGCTGGTGAGAAATAGTCAGCACTTTATCTGAATTCATAAATAAAGGTCCACATAGACAAAACCAAACAATAACGAGATCCTTAGTGTTAAATACAATGAGAGATATAACCACTTCAAAAGATAGTCCATCAATATTTGGCCACCAGTGTACGATATTTAGTGGATATTGCACTCCGCCATGCTAATCATACAGTCTCTAAGTAAATATTTCTTAGACTTTTGTTTCGCAATTAATTCATATTTTTTTTTTCAAATCAGACGCTTTTTTTAAAAATCAAACTGTGATAAGAAACAATCATAAACAAATAAACAACAATAAGTATGTTCGGATCTTCCGGTTTTGTCGAAGGTTAAACGGTAGTCATACAAATGTTCCTCAACGAGCATAACATTATTTGTGGGCTCTTTTGAAATATTTTGGATGTATTTTTTTAACAATTTTGACATGTTTTGAGCACGAGTTATTTTATTTATACTACAGATACTACACACAACCAGAATCAGACACCGTGTACACAAAATGTGACATTAAAAGGTATTGTTTGGACTTTGACACTTTGTAGAAAACAGCATAAGGCTGAAACAAAATACACCTGTGTTTCTAGCAATCCATCTCCTGGCGTGTTGACGTATTGTCAAATTATTTTTTTCAAGTACCTGCCAACCTACATCTTTAAAGGACGTTTTGACGTAAACACAAGTACTTATTTTATGGCATAATATTTACATTTGAGGTCAGACAATTCCTACACGTAGTACGCATGCGCAATGTCAAAATTCATATTCATTCATTCAAAAAAACAGTCATAACTATACATAAACTTTGAAGAGACCCACATCAACTTTATGTAGGTCATCCATATCGTAAATTCATCTTGTCATGGCATTTCTCATTCTGTTTGGTTGTCATGGAGACACTGCTTCAATAACCAATATTGTTCCATTAAAATTCAACTCCAACATGTACTCGGACTGACATGAACCACAGCGTTCTGGTTCGTGTGTCTGCGCACACAATATGTGACCTTGGGATTTGTCCTTGACCTTGATCATATCAACTTAGATGAAGGACGCCACGCCTATGGCGGTTCTTCCTGAGCAATTGTAGATTGTCATTGTTTCAACAGCCGGATACGTCAACGGGACGTCGACAGTCAGATACGTCAACGCGACGTTGACTTCCTCAGCCTAGTCAGTAGACGATATTACTGCACCCACTGATACCGAGTCGCATCTCGTGCTCGCGGGCTTTCATCCTGAGGGCGGCGATACTTGACGACCGGCGTTCTGAGTCTACAACCCCGGATGTAGGAGAGGAAAGCCCGGGGACCGGGGGCGTTGTGTCAAAGTTTTCCCGCGCTTTTGCAGCCGATGACGTCATACTAGCAAGCAAATGTTGAAATGTTCCCGGAGGAGGTACCGGGACTGAGAGGGGTGTGAGCGTGCGCAGTCCCAGACCGGAAGTAGCTGAGGCGGAAGAGAGTCCAAACGTAACAGGGCTATACAAGGCTGACGTCACCGTCGGAAGTGACGTAGCCAGACTGTATCTACTGAGTAGCTGGTTTTCGTACGTCTTGAGCAGGAGGTCGGAGTACGTCTGGGGAGGGTGGGGCTGTTGGGGTGGGAGCACCCCCCTGGACGCCATGTTAAGAGTTCCTGTGTAGGGGGAGTAGGGGTGTGCTTGTGTTCCAACCTTTTCCTTCTTCCGCCATTTTGCTCGTCGGTTCTGGAACCAAACCTGAAACAAGATACATCAGCTTAGTTTTTGAGATGAGTGAGTGAGTATGGTTTTAAAGCAGCTTTTAGCAATATTCCAGCAATATCACGGCGGGGACACTAGAAATGGGCTTCACACATTGTAACCATGTCGGGAATCGAACCCGGGTCTTCGGGGTGACGAGCGAACGCTTTAACCCCTAGGCTACCCGACCGCCCGCTTTTCAGATGAAAGCGGATAAGAGTAGAACAGCATAGAGTGGGTGAGTGAGCCCGAAGTGATGAATTAAGGTGAAACTCACTGGTATGGTACATAACCAGGCCGTTGGTTGAGACAAAATAAAAAACAAAACAATTTCAGTTAGCGCCTCAAAACATTATTTTTTTTAACTCTGCAAGACTCCAAACAACAGATCCATGACACATAATTTTCCAGAAGATGTCCATTGTCCATTTATTTTGGGGGTAAGAATAAGGACAAACTATTTTTTCTAGCATCTTCGAGAAAAGAATATTAAAAAGATAACCCCGCCTCCATCCCAATGTCAAATGCTCGGCCCCTTAAACAGGGCTACCCGTGCCACACGAACCACAAGGCTACATTGATTCTATTGGTCGTTAAACGCCACACTCAGCAATATTCCAGCTATATGGCGGCAATCTGGAAATAATCGAGTCTGGACCAGACAATCCAGTGACTGACATCATGAGCATCGATCCACGCAATTGGGATACGATGACATGCATCAACCAACTCAGCGAACCTGACCACCCGATCCCGTTAGTCGCCTCTTACGACAAGCATGGTCGTCTTTTACGGCAAGCATGGGTTGCTGAAGACCTCTTCTATCCGGATCTTCACGGGTCACTAGGCAACATACCCGGCCTTAATTATCGTTTTGTTAAGTGTTTGTTGAGATGTTGTTTTGTTAGATAAATCTGTTTTGATATAATTTTCCTCATGATGGCGGCTCTGTCAAGACGATGACGACACATGGCGGGGGTATCGGCGGACACGTGTCTATCACAGGGAGACATGTAAGCCACGGGGTGGGCTTGGTTAATGGCTGTGTTTTACAGTGGCGGGGACGGAGGAACATTTAACTGTGTTTTGAGTCAACGACGGCTATTGTGTAGGTGTGTGACGGAGTTAAACACGGCAAATGTCTGAGCTTACCTCGACACGTTCTGTGTTTACTTTCCAATTATTTCTGAGAGGTGACACTTGAAAAGGAGGGTGACCTGAGACAGTGTTGACAACACGCACCCCGGACAGGGTTAAGGAGAGAATATAGGGGTCGGGCGTGGGGTCGGAGTGTTGGGGGAGCTACGGGGAGGGTCCCATCCCTGTGTGCTGAGACTCCACAAAATCATGGTAGGGTGATAGATTGACGTGGTGAGTGAGTGAGTGAGTGAGTGAGTGAGTGGGTGGGTGTTTGGGTGGGTGTTTGGGTGAGTGAGTGAGTGAGTGAGTGAGTATTCACAACCACAAATTCTGGTCAGATTTGGGGAAAGGCTAGTGGGGTTGCTTAGGTTGCTTAGAGAGAGAGAGAGAGAGAGAGAGAGAGAGAGAGAGAGAGAGAGAGAGAGAGAGAGAGAGAGAGACGCCGCAGCAAGAACCGAACGGGAGATGGTGGGTAGATGTGTAGGGGTAGACGTGATGGGGATGAAGAGGATGATTAAGGACTCAAAGGAATGGGTAGCGTGAGGAGGGAGGGGATGAGGATGAGGATGAGCTGTTCTTGAACCATCCCGACAAGCCTGGGCAATTTATCAGCGGGTAACCTCTGCGGTCAGTTGTGTTTGTTAGGTCACCGGGTTAATTGATGAAGACGCTTCCACTAAATGTCCGAAAAGGCTACAGGGTTACAGTGACGGCCCACGGCGATCTGATTAGACGAGCTATGAGTCAGTGTTTAAAGGCCAATTTAACCTGTTTCTCTTCCTTCTTCAGCAAATAGATGACACTGAAGGCAGAGCCCTGGTCTCGGGTGTCGTGAACCGCATAACCTTCGGCTTGCTGACAGACAAGACACTTCACATCGTCAGGTCCCCGCACAGGTATAGACGGGGGAATTAATAGACTTTGTGAGGATTCAGTTACCGTAGGAGGAAACCCTGAAGTAATGCTTGTCTCAGACGTTCACCTCTTTGGTGAAGCCCGTGCACGGGTATGATGCTGACAAACCAAGAACCATAATCGGGCCGAAACTCAGATTCGAACCCATGGTCATAGGATTCTGACACACATAGGGGACGTAACTCTGCATAACGAAAGACGGCGCCCGAAACGAATAGACCACCCTGCCAGGCATGATTACAGTACGATCGATCCTGAATTTTTGGATGTTTTGGATTTAGGCAATGATGAAGTCGTGATGCAGGCGTAGAATATCCTGTTGTCATGGTGATACCAAATTTCGGTTAAAACTAACTGACAAGGCTCTTCAGTGGAGAAAAATGTTTGATATAATCGCTGGTCTTAATTAAAACTGCACATTATATTTTATAAATAGACTCCATGTACAGGACATATTTCACATTATAAACTAAGAGATGAATATAAACTTGGAATAATTTCACAATGCACAATTCCCATATTAAGCCCCCATTGGTCAAGAGTGAGTGAGTATGGTTTTACGCCGCTTTTAGCAATATTCCAGCAATATCACGGCGGGGGGCACCAGAAATGGGCTTCACACATTGTACCCACGTCGGGAATCGAACCCGGGTGTTCGGCCTGATGAGCGAACGCTTTAACCATTAGGCTACCAGATCACCCCTCGTTGGTCAATAGACAAGAAGAGTGTTTCAATGATTTCATTTAGACTGCGACATTCTACGACTGAAAATGTCACTGAGCTTAGCAGACCATCTCCGTGGTCGAGTGGATAGAGTGCCAGTCCGTACAGCGGAAGGTCGGTGGTTCGATCCCCGGCCGCCTCATACCAAAAGACGTTTAAAGAAAGGACTTGTTGTTTCTCTGCCTGGTACTCGGGATTAAGGTGATAAAAGATGGAGTGGGCGTCTTGGCGGCAGTGTACTGTATCTGAGTCGGGTATATGTTAAACCGCCGCATGGTATCTCAGCACTGTAAAACTAGTACAAGCGGTCACACAGACAAACACACGTGAACAGCACTCCATCCCTAAGCCTACAGTTTTGGTTGCCGAGCTGCCCAGAAATAAAACATGCTTGTATAAAGCAAAACTGAAAAACAAGACTGAAGTGTTTTATAAGCTTTGTTTGTGAGTTTAGTTTTTAAGGCTGCACTCAGCAATATTCCAGCCAGCGGTCGGTAAATAATCGAGCCTGGACCAGACAATCCAGTGATTGACATCATGAACATCAACGCAGTTGGGATACGATGACAAGCATCAACCAATTCAGCGAGTCTGACCACCCGATCCTGTAAGTCCTCTTACAAGAAGCATAGTCGCCTTTTACGGCAAGCATGGGTTGCTGAAGACATTTTCTAACCCGGATCTTCGCGGGTGTGTTTTGTAAGAGTTAAATGGTCCCTTTAACAAAATCAAATAATGAACACTACACATTATAGTGTCATACAATATAACTCAACGTTTTAGCTGAAAGAGACAATCTTGAATGCTTTTCCCACAATAAACGTCACATCCAGATATAACACACCCTCGATCACGACAAGATAAATTACAGTCACCCCTTTCCCCAAACTAGGCAGGAGGATCACGTTAGTACTGAAAGGTAAATCACTAAGTCACCATTGAAAAGATCTAGTGATTAGGGGACATAGAAGGGGTGCTGTTTGGACGTCGGAATCCACTTGACGTTGACGTCAACGTCTTGTCGTGTTGTGCCAATACTACAGCCGCTAATTATTGTAAACCTAGCGTTTTTTCTGTATGGAGAGGCTCGCTGTGAGCCTTCTCGGGTGTCTCAGTGTCCGTGTTTAGAGAAGGGAAGCCAGTGTCAACACCGCGAGCAGCATGTCAAGAGCTTCGCGGAGAAAGAGGAGCTTGTACTATGATACCTAGTTAGCAGAACCAACACAGGCGTACCTTTCTTCGCTATTTATCAGCTAGACCGTATTATGAATAGGGCAATTTTGACACGTCTATTAGCATAAAGGCCTATAAGACGCATAATTTAAACTTGGATTGGTTTTGTAAAGATTATTATTAAACACTTTACCGTAGAGCCAATTTGCAAGGAACTCTCCCTTTACCGGTGGCTGGCAGCTCGCACTTTTAGCAACCTGAGACGTTTGGAATAATGAGCGCTCCCTAGACAAGCAGGCATGAGCACCATCGTCTTTGCCGAGCATGGCTGATCGGTTCTTTAAGCACGCCTTATTATTTTGTTATGGATTCGACAAATCGTTCTTAAAAAGCCTTTAATGCCAATTGAAAGTTTGTGTGCAGATGACAGTGTTAAGTCAATATTTGTGCTCGATAACCATCATCTACGTCACATTACGCGGGAGACGATGACCCATTACAGTTTGAAATGATTAGGAAAGCAAACCCTAAATGTAGTTTCACTGACTGGTTTCGGTGGTATAGATGATGACGTTGACCCTTTGTCAGGTGACGCACGCGCAAACTTAAGACACAACCTGTTTGCATTTTTTTTTCCAGATTTTAAAATAAATCTTCAGTTTAAAGCACTAATAAACCTTCTTTTTTTTAAATATCGAAGATTGTTTCGTCTTATCGATTCGAATACAGCGTATTTTTTATGCTCATATTTCTTATAATTGTTTAGTGATTATCATCTAGATAACAATACGAACGAATAGAAAAAGCCATTTGTATGAGAAATGAAATGCCAAACAAAATAATGACATTCACTTTACTGTAAAAGACAAATTTGTGAAGCATACCCTGCCAAAGATGAAAGACTGATAACCGCATGCTAAAACAAACTAGAAATTATGAAAGATAGCTGAATCAATTATTAAACAGGTAATATATTTTTCATTTTCAAATTTAACGTATCTTTTACAAAACACTAAAAGCCGACGTTCAAGAAAAAAATGTTAGT